TGCCACAGGTGCCTTGGTGTCAGCAGTAGCAGGAGCTCCAAACACACTCTTGAATGGTGATGCCACAGGTGCGTCAGCATTAGCAGTAGCAGGAGCTCCAAACACACTCTTGAACGGTGATGCCACAGGTGCGTCAGCATTAGCAGTTATCGTTGAAGCGAATGCACTATTGAACGATGCTGGGGCCATTTTCGTATCAGCACTTACAAGTTTATTCAACGTAGCGTGATTATCTAATATCTCACCTGATGATTGTTTTTCGTCTAACTTTGTTTTTTCTTTTAAGGGTTCATTTTTATCTGTATTGTTGAAAGTGTACATTGCTTTCCTTAAGAGTGAGTGAAGAATATGCTGAAAGAAAAGTATGTATATTTTTGTTTTTGTAACAGATGAGAGAGAGAGAGAGAGTCTACTGTAATAACAAGTAATTCCATGTTTATCTCTGTTAAGGAATTTACAATACATATAGAAAACCAATATCCTAGCTGGATTTTAATTTGCCACTCTTGTTCTTTCTAATCTTTTCATCAAAGCCTTTTCGAAAATTCTCGCGGCTCTGTATTCTCTTTGCTTTGCTAGCTTTACTCGATGGCCCAAAATACTAATTTCCTCATCTAAGAACCGTGCAAACAGCGTGAAATTTTCACAGTTGCCTGGGCGCGTTTCTTCGGTAACCCCAACCCCAGGCATATTCGTGGATTTCATAGAACTCGGTTTCCCGTAAAACGGGGTATAATCTGTAACCAAACTTTCTGAGTTTTTATTCAATGCATGGAAAGCGTATTCTAAATTATCAAGAGAATCTGGACGTTCATGATGTATGTCATTTCTATCATCCATATCTTCCCAAGGAAAAAATGGTGTTTTCTTTTCACTAACTATTGAAGAGCCAGGTGCCAAAAAAAAAAAAAAAAAAAAAAAAAAAAAAACATAAAAAGCTCACTTTTGCGGAAGATGCAGAATATGAAATTGCAAGAAAGAGAGAAGAACAGAATCAAATAAGTAAAAATAATATAATATTCCATATACTGAAATCATTGTATTGTTCTGTATTCATCGAACTCAATATAAGGCAAAAAAAAATTCCCAAATAAATACAAAATCGAATAAAATTCCAAAAAAAGGTAATTGAGTTGATGGATAAAGAATTAAACAATATATGTCACGCGCAAATAACACTTGAAATAGTTCCACCAATTGGTCATAATTACTGTAGAGAGAGAGAAGTTTAGTTCCAATACATGTAACTAGGATCCACCTTTCTGAGCTGAATCGAATAAAAGTAATTAAGCGTGGAAACATAGACGCGTAAACCTCTAAAAGTTTCTTCTGAGACGGTGTATACTAAACACTACAAACGTAGGATAACTTATTTGGGCAGCAGAAGAAATATTAGAGCCAAGACATAAATTAAAGGGAAGACCAGATACCCCAATAGTTACTGATAACAGCAAAAATCAAACAGAGACATAAATACAGACACGATTCATCGAATATGCACCTAATCTGCAAGAAATACAACACAATTATTTTAATAATCCGTCACAAAGGATTACACTGCAGAGTACCAAAAATTACCAAGAGGAGATATATCATAAGGTACCCAACCATATATCGTCCAAAAACAGAATGCGACCCCACAGGAGTACGTAAACAAGAGAATCAAGTAACCGGACCCCATCGGCTCCTTCATGTATATACTGTTCCTCAAGAAGCACTACAAAAAAAAAAACACACACACACACAAGAGTAGAGAAACAATCCCAAGAATATACTTATTCAATGGAAAGAACAGCTCCACATATGTTCATCCATATACATTGTAATCAATATATATACATATATATAGGGAGAGAGAGAGACACTTCTAACGAGTAAAAAAAAAAGACTCATACCATCACACAACAGTACCAAGAAGACAATATAACTCCAGAAAAAACAGTGACCCCAGGAAAGAGCAAAAAAAAAAAAAAATCGAAAGTCGAGGTCCAGTAAAACCAAATAACTCAGAACAACACACACCAGAATAGTAACAACAAGAAAATCCACACCAAAAAATCATTGCCTTAATTCCAAGACAGATACAGGGTATAGAAGAACAAATTGAAGTTCTTCAAAAGTTTGGTATGCCCTCGTGATACTCCCCCTACAACTGTCTTCACCGAACAAAATGCCCTCAGTATGACGGTAAGGAAATACACTGATTCATCCTTAAAACCATATTATATCGAAAAGGAAAGGCATTCAAAGGAAGAAGACATAGTAATGAGGAAAGGTGATCCTCGGGAATGGAAAAAAAGAAAACAAGAAACGCCATAGAAAAAAAAAAAAATCGTACACGAAAACAAATCAGGTGACACGTCATCTGTTATACAAAATACAAGAAACGAAAAAAAATACTGTAATATACACAAGGAGTCAAAGAAAAAAAAACAAATATTAAGAACATATTCGTAGAAAGAAAACCCTCAGTATAGACAGAGTATTCACTGGCCACAGGCACCGTCAATATACAGAAAGGGAGAAAATAAAAAAGCAAAGAAAACAGCGGGTGCAACCGAAAACAAACAAACAAAAAAAAAACTTGCCATAAGCAGAGTTATAGGGACCAAAGCACCAAAACAATCCCAATCGCTGAGAAAAAAACCCAACAACACCACGAAACACAAAGAGGACATGATAAACTCCGCCATGCCAGAGACCTCCGACCACACCCCCACCCGACACCCCAAAAGGAGACCATGACGCAAGGTAAAGCCACCCCCGGTGCCCCAGAGAGGGCGCCCAAAACAAGAACCACACCTTCCTTCAGAGCCACGGCGGAAGGCAAGGCGGCTTGAGAAAAGGCGGGGCGGCTTCCCCCGTTCAGGCCGGCGGGGAAAGAAACGCCGGCGCCCCCGCGCCTCCCAAAAAAAAAAAAAAAAGAAAAAAAAGAAAAAACGCCGGCTGCGGCCTCCCCCCCGCTCGAAAAAATTAAAAAAAAAAAGGGGCGGGGGGCCTGCGAAAAAAGGGCGGCCGGCGTTTTGAGGAGAACTTGGTTTGGTACAAGGAACGCCGTCAGGAGATCGGGAACGTTTTGCCACTAAGGATTGACGCGGGTTACTTCCAGCCGGTAAAACGTGACATCGCGATTCAGCAACCCAATTTTGATAGCGATACCCTTCGGCGAAACCGCAATGATCTTGTACTGGGCCCATGCCCCACACCAAAAATGTTCAAGAGTGAACCTTATACGAAGGCAAGATATTCTTTCTTCCAGGTGACGTTGGAGAGGGAGGTAAAGGCAGGTTTTTGCTGCTGAGCAAAAATCGAGTTATTTCATGGAACTTTTTCCTTTCCCCATAGTTTGCAACCGCAGTTCGGAAATTGTCCACACTATTACAAGGTGTTTGCCCGTATGTCCTGAGTTCATTAAACAGCGGTCCACCGCCACTTCAAAATTGGATGTTCATGGTTAGATTGATAATGCCCGCATCGCTGGGCCAAAGTAAAGGACGGGGATGTGGGAAAAGTGAGTGTTTTTTTTTTTT